TAATAATACCCACAGTCTTTACAGAGACAGATGTAGTAATCACAGTGTTTACTGAAGCAATAGTAATACCCACAGTGTTTACAGAGGCAGAAGTAATAATCACAGTATTTACAGAAGCAGAAGTAATAATCACAGTGTTTACAAAGGCAGAAATAATAATTACATTGTTTCTAGAAGCAATAATAATACCCACAGTCTTTACAGAGACAGATGTAGTAATCACAGTGTTTACTGAAGCAATAGTAATACCCACAGTGTTTACAGAGACAGAAGTAATAATCACACTGTTTACAGTAGCAGAAGTAATGCTCACAGTGTTTCCAAAAGCAATAGTAATAACCATGGCATTTACAGAGGTAGAATTTTAACAGAATTTACAGAACTACAGTAATTGCAATCTGTGAATACGTCCAGTCCCTTTGGGGAAAAGCCAGTCTGGTGCTTCTTATGCAAAAATGGCTATTGTGACCCTAAGCTGGTGGTTCCCAGCTCTGGTTTGCCCATGGACTTGCCCCTCCTTGTCCATCATATGTGACACTGGCAGTGAGGTATCTGAGTGCGTATCTCCCGTCTCCATTCTGCTGCCTGCTCCAATCATATTCACCGGAGATTCCCCCCAGCCCTGGTTCAGTGATCAGTGCCAGTCTCTCCTGAGGGATCTCTGGAAGCAGCTCTCTGCTTATTTGATGTTGGGTCAGGGGGGACAGAGAGCTAAAGGTATGTGGACACTTGGTCGGCCAGGGGTGAGTCAAGGTGTGACTGTAGGTGAGAGGCCGCGTGTCGCTGGAGTGTCACGTGTGTACAGTCCCCTGCAGTTTGCTCTGCCGTTCGAGGACCACACTCCTCTGCTCCTCATTCCATATTGTTTGACACTCACCCACTCCACTGTCCCCTACTGCTCTCTCCATGCCTGTGTGCCTGATGTCCCCTTCCAAGATTCCGGTAGCTCCCTGACAGGAAGCAAAAATGTGGGCTGCCTGCGAGCGAGCGGGGAGAGAGCAAAAACGTGGACCGTCTCACAGGGAGCTGGGAGGGAGCAAAAATGGGGAATGTCTAGGGGTCCCCGAAGACTGAGTTGAGAAACACTGCTCTAGGCCAGTGGTCACCAACTGGTCGATTGTGATCACATGGTAGCTTCCAAGACTCTTTATAAAAATTGCTCGCAAAGTAAACGGCTTAGAGACCACTGCTCTAAACCAGTGTTTCCCAATCCAGTCCTCAGGGACCCACAGATAGTCCACGTTTTTACTTCCATCTCCCGGTAAAAATGTGGACAGTCTGGTAGGGAGCAAAAATGTGGACTGGCTGTGGGTCCCAGAGGACCGGATTGGGAAACACTGCTCTAAGCAGCTGACTGACGTGAAAGAACTCCTCTCTTTTCATTCCCAGCTGCTGAGGATGTGGGAACACAAGAACATGAGTGAACGACTGCGATACTTATAGTTGAAAAGGGCTGAGAAATGTATCCAGGTTTAATCAAAACAATGCTCAAGCGGACACACAAAATTAAAAAAAACAGACTAATGTGGTGAATTTTTGCTTTGAGACACTTTTTAATCTCGTGTGTGTTTCTGTTCGCGCCATACTTCTTTGAAGATTGATTATTTCGCCGTGGTAACTTTAGTAACTTTTAGTCGCGCTGGGGCAGCATGTGACAGCAGCTCTGTAGCAGAGCGGGATTCATGTAGAGCCCTTGATCCATTTAAAAAGTGGAGGGGAAAAAAAAATCTTGAAAAGCACCACATGGAAAGAAAGAAAATCGCTGGAAAGACCTCTGGGAGACTGGGAGAAAGTGATCTCTTCCTGCCCGTCTGTCCATCCGCCCATTTCTTGAGCACCACCCATTCAGCTGGGGCTACGTCTGAATCACTGAAACTTGAGCAACTTTCCCTGCCGCGCAGACAGTCTCCAGGCAAAGCAGTGCAGCCGAGGGACGGTGTGTGCAGCTGCCGCAGCCACTCGCTCCTTTCATCCCGCGAAGAGGAGAGAGAGCGCTACGCAGATTAGTCTCACTGCTCATGGGGTTTTTTCCCCTATTTTTCCCAGATATGTTACGTTCTTTGGTGGTATTCTGTTTCACAGGACTGTTATATTACCCACGGTCCAGTTCTGTCAGGCCCCTGAGCATAACTGACCATGATGTTTCTTCCGACTCTTTCTTTAGCTCTTCTGAGGCCAAAGGTGTACGTGTGGGGTGGAGGCCATATTGCCCACCCCCCATAAAAAACCACTGGTCCTGTGTGACACCAGCAACTTCATGGAGGCCACGCCCACATTCCTAACAGACTCCTGGAATATGGAGGTAGACTGCGTGTGGAATATGGAGGTAGACTGCGTGTGGAATATGGAGGTAGACTGCGTGTGGAATATGGAGGTAGACTGCGTCTGGAATATGGAGGTAGACTGCGTCTGGAATATGGAGGTAGACTGCGTGTGGAATATGGAGGTAGACTGCGTGTGCCTCGTGCTAACCCACCATCCCCCACAAAAAGAAAATCAATTTGCAAATGGCTTAATGCATTTACATGCAACTGACATCCTCTGCACCTCCCCTTCCTCGGAGAGGACGCTAATCCGGTTTGCAGTCATGATCCTAAAGAAGCTTAATTCGCAATGGAAAAGAATCATTCCTACGTCCTCCATCCCTCCCATGCTACTTCTTATATCAGAAAAACTATAGCTCTAAACTCAACGGGATGAAGAATGAAGAGGCATCGGTCACCTTGAGTGGATAAACAGAGACGCTTTCGAAAAAACCGAGAGCCACGGGGACGAGAATGACCCGTGATCATGGTTAACCACGCAGATGGCACAGTGTCCGTGTTAAAAAGGCCCTTCCCGGAATCCTTCAGCCTTTTCTGGGCAGGGTTGGCAGAATTCCTTATGTCTTCCTCAGGGTTCCTTGAGGGGTCACGAACTCGGGTCAAGCATGCAGTGATGCTGTGCTTGACTGGATCCCCGTAGGTGAGGCTGGGTGGCCGTGGGTCAGGGTTGCCCAACGCCATGTTCTGCTTGGGTGCTGATGCGTGCATGAGCACTGCTGGCTACCGAGTGCTGCTGAGGGTTTTGTTACAGGTGTTTTAATGCCTGGGGGGGGCACAGCGGGTGCAGGCCATCGTGATGGGGCCTCTTTCTCCTCTCGCTGCAGCTTGATATTTAGAGTCTCCTGGTCATTGTATTTATTTTTTAAAAGGACCCCCCCCCCCCCCCCCCCCCCCCC